AACGTTTCCCCTCTTGAACACCAGACCTCGCACCTGCTGATTTCTACATGTTCTCTGATGTTCTCCAGGCTACAAATGAATGAAAGGGCACCGATTCGCTAATTCTGGAACGGTTATGGAAAATGTGACCAGACCAGTGTTGCGTAGATATCAAGAAATGGCTTTCACGACTGTTTCCAACAATTATACGAACATTGGGTGAAGTGTTTAAATGCAGGAGGGAACTATTTTGAAGGTAATGAATTTAATTGATTGTACTTCGAATGAATAACATTTTGACCAATTCCGGGAGCTTTTTGGTTTTACCTTGGATTACAAAAACGAAATAAGAGCCAGTATGAGACGAACAGGATCATTATTAAATGTTTATAATTTAATATTTTGAAAAGTCAATATTTATTTCAATTGTATTCGCAATATTTGAAAATTTTGAATCATCCAACAGAATTTGACCTGATTTAGTTTCCATCTGTTGTATATCTTCCAATAATACTTCAAACAATGGGTCCTTTTGAATAAAGATGTTGTTTTCAATCTTGTTTGTAAGTATTAATACATAAAATAAAAAAAAAAATAAAAATTGTTTGAACTGAAAGCACCCTTTTTTTGGACTTTAATGTCTACTAGACAGTGAATTCTTTTTTTTTCTTTTCTTTTTTGAATTCAAAATAATATCCATGTAATAGAAAAAGTACAAATGTTCCAATATTTACCCAAAACTTGGCCCCTATAGTACTCATACCTGGATTTGAGTATTTACATACTTTAATGTTAAACATTTTTTTAACTGTGTACCACATTGTCTCGATATTGATTAACAAAGTCATGTATAATGAAGGATGGATTTAAAAAAATGATAATTGAAAATGGGTTTTTTAACACACCATATGCTTTACTATCTCTTGAAAAACTTAGAAAAATTAATAAAAGGGGTTACTGCAGTCATGCAGACTGCATGACTGCAGTAACCCTATCCACCAACCCTACCAACACCTATCCACAAAAATGGTAATGAACGTGATGTATTGAATTATAGACCAATTTCATTCTTTATCAGGATTTTCAAAAATATTAGAGAAACTGTGAATTTTAAAAGGCTACCTGATACACTGTAACATCATTACTGACTCACAACTTGGATTCAAGGAAAATCTATCAACTTAAACGGCTGTATCGACCTTTCTAAACAAAATCCTCATGGCATTTGAGCAAAAATAAATTCCTGATGTTTCTTTCTTGTCCTCTCAAAAACTGTTGACACAATATATCAAAGAATTCTATAGTAAAAATTAGAATCTTATGGAATTCAAGAAATTGCTTACGAGTGGATAAAATCAAATCTATTAGGAAACAAAAAGGAGCGTTACCTTAGCCAAATAATGATCTCTGAACCAAGGGATGTGACCTATGGGGTCTCACAAGGATCCACACTAGACCCTATTCTATTTCTTATGTTAGTAAATGACCTGCCATCAATAATGGAAAATAACAAAACAGTACTTTTTGCTGATGACACTAATATAATATTGAAAGAAAGAACAACCAAAGGTTTACAAGACAAAGCTAACTCACCCATTGACAAACTAATTCAATGGATCCATCAATACAAAATAATCCTAAACAGGCATAACAATCAGAATGTACTTCCACAACTCACACTGAGCACAACAATACTCATCAAATTTAACATTTGAAGGCAACAGCACCACACAAGCACAAAAAACAAAATTTCTTGGAGTCACTATACATTTCATGAAATGGAACTCTCACCTAGAAGATATTAATTCAAAATTGTGCAATCTTAATTATTCTCTTAGAATAATAAAAAGGAACAGTACCATTAAAACAGTTAGAACAATGTTCTTTGCAAATTTTCACTCTACTCTCAAATATGCAATAATAATCAGGGGCCAAGTGCTAGAGGCTAAGCATAACTTAACATGCCTTGTATATTCTTTTACAAAGTCCTCGTGTTTGTAAAGAAAAGCTTAACAAACAACAATACACCTTACAAATTTAACTCAAACTTACACTTACACAACCCAAGGCAAGCATACAAACTTCAACCAATGTGCACAAGCATGTTATACAAAAAGGGTCCATTCTCTACAGGAAAACAATTCAACAAATTACCATATATCTTAGAGACATAACAAGGATTACATAGCTTCAAGAATAAACTCAAACTTCCTTGGGCAAAAACTTATTTATAACGTTCAGGAATACCTAAGTAATTAATATGAGCAATCTGATTCTGGTGCTGCAGTAGGACCAAGTGTAGAATTACAAAACCTGCATCCTCATCACCATTTCAAGATTTAAACACTGAATGAATTAATCTTGTTAAATTATAAGTAGTTGTTACTATAATTAGTATCATGAACTGTCATTATTACCATCATCATCATCACTATTGCCATGATTATTCCTTTAATTAATAACCAAAGATGTTATGAGTCAGTTGAATAAAAAATGTACTGCGGATTGCAAACAGCTTCCTATGGAGATCTATGGGCTATCAGTGCACCTACAATACTTTACACAAAATATGGGCTGTTCCCAATAAAGCAATGTATTGTACGTCACAGTCTTTTGAATGACCTGGGGGTTCAGACAGGTTCTTCCACAAATTTTGCAAACAAATCCCAGAGCTTCGATAACTATCAGGATGACCCCTTCTATGCTCAATTTTCGGTTGATCTCAATTTTCAAATTCGTGTATTTAAGACATTTCTCTGCTTCCTTGGGTACATTTTGATCACAAGGTACAGCAATATCTACAAGTAAACAAATTTTTTCTCCAAAACCTGGATAACAAAATCCAGTTTGTTTGCCACTATTGTGCAATCAGTTTGAATTTTTTGTCGTACAAAATTGTGCACAGTCCAACAGTCACTGGAATTGGTAAGAATTTGTATATCTTGGAACATGTTTTTGAACCTTAGAGGTCGTTGCAGATCTACCAGTGGAGACAACTACACACCCTATTGGGCCTTTTCAATTATTCAGTCTTCGCTAGAATATTGGACAAGATGAGATGATCAACGGTTTCTTCTTGTTCCTGGCAGATGCACCATTTATCATGGAGTGGTTTGTCTCTCTACGAATTATTTAACATTATTTGTGTCTCATATTTCATGCCAAGTAGCATCAGAAGTCCAAAGACTGTGTGTTTCTGCGAGTCTTGCATAGTTTTCTTTGCAATGTGTAGAATGTAATACAATACCTGTATCCCATCCTTCAGCCAGCCTCATTTGTGGCACATCTTGATAACTGATTCCCATCCCCAATACTGCATTGTGTCAGGGCTTCAATTAGACTGAGGCCTTGCCATTTTTGGGCACAGGGCAATGCTGCAATGTATTTTAATTTTGGGAGGTACTTTACATAAAGCCTCCATTTTCAAAAAAAGAAAATTGCTCCAAATTTTTTGATTCAACTTTGTTAATAATTAGTGCACATGACATTTAAGAAAATGGTGCAGGTCACATTTTCATTGAAATCCCTGATTTTTCAAAAACTACAAAACAATGTTTAAAAGCTACAAAATTGAAGATAGATAAGTTTGCCTTGGACAAAGTGTTGAACAAAACTACTTCTTTAAAAAAGGTCATGTACCATTTTTTGCAAAAATGAGTAGTTTTTGTGTAATCTAAGCTGAAATTAGCCAACTTTTTCCTCTGAAAAACAGTTCCAAAATTGTTCTTCAAATTTTATTCACGTATGTAATAATTAGGGGGCAAATGACCTAAAACATTGCCAGAAATGATCAATATAGTGCTTTAAGATGCTTTAAATATGTCCTTAAAACAAAGACAAATGATGTGAAAATTTGATCAAAAACACCTAAGATTAACAACTCAAGCTGTTGGTTATGTTACTAATGTAATCGAGGCTCCTTTTGTTCACGTGAACCCAGCCTGCAAACTTTTGGCTTGAACTGTTCATTAAAAGAAAATCTCTGCCTTTACTTATTGTGAAATCGGTCAAACTGACAGCAGCGGATAGACATCACAGAAACTTTATATTACATAGTACTAACAACGGCTGATATTACAATATTTGAGTGAAGAAATTGAATAGACTAATCTAGAATCCTGCATTGAACATTTATTAGACCTTGTAAATATTGTTTGAAGCAAGTACCACTAAAACAATATTAAAATCTATGAAATCAGCGAAAAATGCATTAAAAATGACGTAAATAAGTAAAAAATGACTTAGTCGAAATCTATGAAAAATGCAAAACAATGACATTAAAATGGGGCATTTCGTTTCATTTTCATCAAATGAATGTCTATACTAAAGTTAACTGCATTGAAATGAAAAGTTAAAAAATTTCCAGTCCCTGGTAATAATGGACGGTAAAAAATATGGGGCTAGTCTTATTTTCAGGTATTGAGTTGTTTTTTTTTAAATTGCAAAACAAAAATTCAAAACGACAATATTGAAGATGGAGATTTTTGCCACAGACAGAGTCTGTTGTACAAATTTAGCTCTTTAAAAAGGGTAATGTACATTTTTTTGTAAAAGCTAGTATTTTCGTGTAATTTGTTTGTAATTAAAGAAGCATAAATGGGCATACCATTGTGCATAATGATAACATTGTAATATTGCAAGAAAGTATATGTTGTTGGAGTACCACTATTTTCAGAATATGCAATAATAGTAATAATAATTTCATATAACATTTTATATTAATAATTTGAAAAAAATCTTTCATTTCATATTTAAAAGATTAAATGAATTTTTATTTTGCTTTCTCAATCCAGGAGCTCTCCCCATATGGAAAACTTCTCTAAAGGAGAAAAACCCTTAAAATGAATGGCGATATGCACGTTTTGGGAATCAAAGATTTTTCAAATTGTGAACTAATAGGGAAGGCTAAATGTGTAAATCATAAAAGCTAAGAGAAAATTTAACTAGCTATTTTGAAATAACATAGTAATTACATGTACTACTCTTCTTATAGTAACATATAGTAGCAATTAAAATTAAAATTAGTCAAAGTTTAATTTTTAATTGTAGCTTTTGTAATACACAAATTTACTAAAAAGTACAAAGAAACACAATGTCAAGTCAGTTCAATTATTTACAAATTTCCAACATAAAAACTTCCCTCCATTTACTGTATTATACACTTTACACAGAGTATTTAAGTACACTGACATGAGAACATTGATAAACAAAATGAAACTTCCAAGAAACTGAACAAGCATTCATATTCAATGCATAAAATAACAGTAAACATTTACTCTGTTCTCAAAAATTCTCAACAAAAACAGTAGCACAAGTTTGCTTTATTTTAATCCATTCAGCGTCTATCTTTCACTTAACACAAATTCTTGGCATATTTATAGGACAGATGCAAGTTCACATAAAACAGAACAAAGAAGAAGACACAACTACAATTTAAATAACAATGAGAAAAAAATGAACAATGAGAAAAATTATGAAATTTAACACACGGTATACAAATTTTTAACATTTGTTCGAGTCAAAAATTTACAAGTTGACTTCATTGTTTCCAACAAACTGAAATAGAATGAAGACTATGTTACAATGTCTTTCCCACATATTATATAACCATGCTTCTTGAGCAGAGTATTTCAAATTAAATATCTTAAATAATCCAAATGCATACATTTTTTCACATCTTAAATTTATTCTTTTCTTTATAAAGAGAATATACTTTTTCACCATTTGCACAGAAAATTAAGTATAACAAAAACAGTGTTAATCTAAATAACTACATGATTAACTAAAAATACTTTCCTTTTCTAAACATAGGAAAGCTGAAACCTCTTGAAAATGACATTTCAGAAGGTATTTGGAAACAAAATACAAGATGATTTCATAATACAAAGATATTTTTATTTATTTATTTGTGATCTAATAAATAAAGAACACAGCAACACAGTCTTTTTGAAAGTAAAGTTAATTTATTGTTATATAACAATGAAAAGAGAACACTAAACTTACAAGAAAATCATTCACTTGATCTAAAGTTGCATTTACACACTCTTCAGTAACAGTTCACAGCCTTATAAGATTCAAAAATATTTTGAAGAGATAAATGAGAAATGTTTTCAGGTAGTTGATAAGTAATCAGCTGCCAATTGCTGCTGATCCACATTGTATGCAGTTACAAACCTATAAACTTTTTGTCCATCAGGTGTCACAAGTTCCAGAGTTTGATCACTGCCCACAAGAGCCAACATGTCACCTGTCACAGCCTGAGCACTAACTTGTTGATTTTCACCCTGAAACAAACAATTAACATTAGGCCCTTCCTCGTAAAAGATTAAATTTACGGCCATTTAATTAACATTTTTGTCAAAGAGGTCTGGATGCTCAAAATTTCGCAATTCATCAAATTTTTGTGTTTCACCAACCTGAAATCTTATAGATTAACTTCTCGATAAACCTCGCAAAATCAACATCAAGAAAAGTTTGTAATTTCCAAATGTCACTGTTTATGTACAACGCATTGTCTCTTTGGTTGTAGCCGGCTTTTGTCCTAAGTATCTCATTCGAAAAATGTGCTGTCACCTTATATTCATAGATTAAGCTTTGTTGGTTCAAATTAAATTTTAACATTATCTTTCCAAGACTCAAAACTCTTAAATGTTGACGTAACAATCAGCTGTCAAGAGATGATTAAAATACCGTGCTACTTAAAATATCTAATTATATTTGTGGATTTATTCTCAGCACTCACTTTGTTCTTTGCCAGGTGATGGAGATAGATATTTTTGAATAGGCTGGTAACGAGAGAAACTTGAAATAAATGGCATTATATCAAGTGAAAAGCAATATGAAATTTGTTGGAGTGATTTTGTTACACAATGTGCTGATCAATAGTGTGGACTCTTGGTTCAATGCCTGGCGAGTGCAAATCTGCATTTTGCAAGAAAGAGGAAAGAATAAAAAACACACTGATAGAAGTACACATTCTACATGGCTATGGACCAGAGTGGAACAAAAATCTGGTGAAACACGAGAAAATGCTCTTAGATGGTGTCGGATAAAAGATTAAAAACACAAAATTAATACGCAAAACAATGCTTAAAAAATCAGGGGACATTGGAGTACGGAAGGATGACCAAAAGAGATACAATAATACACATGACAAAGAGAGAAGTCACAAAAAAATGATTGTGATAATTTTAAAGGAGGCAATAATTCTAACATTCTCGTCTAGACAATTGGACAATTTGCCATTAATTTTGACAAAGTGGTAAGAATTAAAGAAAGATTTAAAGAATTCACAAGAGTCTTCTTCAAAATAAGGAATATATCTTAGGTATTAAAGTTTTTAAAATGGAAACTATATTTTCTATAGAAAATTTTTCCTCAATCAACAATTACCACATTTTTATGTATATTGCTTATAAAACAAGGTACTACTGGTGTTGCCTTTTTAGAAAACATATTCTTTACTTACTGGAATATCAGGAACCTCCGAGTCACCCTCGGTCACAGTTGGTAGATGTGGTGCAAGACCTGCAGTAAAGGCTTGTCCGTCTGAGGTTAAATGAAAATTTGTACCAGCAACTTCTATAGACTGGACATTACCAGTAGGAATCTGAAAAAAAAGTTAAGCATGTGTACACTGTATTTTATGCTAGCATGATAAATAGGATTTAGATGGAAGAAAAGGGCTATAACTAGTGGTGCTACAGAATGGCACACTTTCCCGTATTGGTTTTCTATTTCCTTTGGTGTCAGCTAGCTACTCAGAGGAGAAATACTCTTGCCAGCTGCCATCTATTGATGCCCAAAGTTCATTTTTTTGAAAATTTCTTAATTGTTCGGCATCCTATTAGTAGAGCAGAAATATTATTTTAAGAATATTAAAGAACAATAAAACCTTGTCCTAAATGGTAATTTTATTTGAAAAATTTGGAAAAATTAGGAATTTAAAAAAATGTAATGAAATTCCCGCTAATGTAAATATCAACGATGACAACTCAAAAAATTACATTTTTGTAATTTTTGAACAAACAAATGCATCGAGTAATATGGCTTTTGTGTCCTCTGATAGAGTGAATTTAGTACTATCTCTACCAAAAGTTAAAAGAAAAATGTGAGAGCTGTTTGAGAAAATTTTGTTTTAGTTACTTTTAAAAAATGCAAATATTGCAGGCAATATTGGGCGAAAACTACTAAAATTTTCAAAAAAATGTACGCAGCCTTAATAAAATAACTAATAATGGACAACAAATTTCATTTGAAAGAAAAATCTCTATCTTTAATTTTGTTGTAATAATAGTTGTACGAAAGCACAAAAAAAATTCACTTTTGAAATTTTTGATAATTTGGAGCAACCCAGCTAACCAACCTTGACATATGTCAAGTACGTTACTCTATTCTTGCAAGACATTTTCTTTTTATTTAAATTTGGAGCCATTTTTGAGAAAATTTTTTAAAATGTCTGGAGGGCTACATATAAAGTACCTCCAAATTTTGAAGAATGTTTTTCAAAGTTTCGACTCCAGCCAGATTAACTTTCCCTACACTAAATATATTACATATGTATACGGGAAATTAAAAAGGAGTAATGTAACATTTATGCTGACACATTTATGTATTTACGGTGAAAACAATTAAAAACTGTGTGATGTGCTATGGGGAGAAGTTAATTTAAAGTTACATTTATGTCCAGAAGCAAAACAAGTGGCCAACTCAGCATTTGCTCAAGTGTCAGGGAAACTGGACGAAAACCTCATCAAGATGCGGGTCATTGACCCAGAAGCTGAAGTTCAATACTTGTTACAGGTTCTTTAGAATTATACAATCTAAATAATAAATAATACATTAAATCCTACTGTTAAAATAAATATTACTTTCCTTTTGGATGCACGATATAGTCTCTAATTGTATAGAAACAGTTGTGCAGCAGAAAAGATTTTACTTGGAACTTGAACTTAGGCATCGAATTTAATAGTTTAATGTCATCTGGCAAGGTGTTGTAAAATAATGTACATGTATTTTGTGAATTTTTTGTAGTGAGCTGTTGATACTGTCACCTGCTGAATATGATTACTATGCCAAGTGTTGTAGTTATAGACAACGGCATTTGCTCAAAATATATTCTCGCCCTTAAGTAAGCCATTTTTGACAAAAAACACCGATTCATATATCAAGAAAGTAGGAAAGTTTTAGATACAAAATGATGTTTATTGGAGTGTATGCATGAAATGAAAAAGAAGATACTAGTATTTTAGAGGAATTTTACTCAGAAATAGATGGAGTAATCAGTGAATATGGGGTAAAAAGAGAACTTATTCGGCAATTTTAAAGCTAGAGTGGGAAAATTTGAGAGCTCAAAAGGAGACAACATGGAGAAGAGGTGAAAAACTCAAAATGGAAGATGATTGATTCAACTGATTCCACTATGTGAACAGAATTAACTTATAATTAGAAATGGGCACTTCCAGCATAAAGATAAGAATACGTTCACTTGGAAAGATAAGGTAAGAAGAAGGAGATCTGTGATCGAATACGTAATCACTAGATTTAACTGGTAAAGTAATAGATTTCAGGACACTAAGAGGCCCATAGTATAGATCCATCCATTATTTCGTGAAGGCCAAATTTAATTTTCCACTTATAAAACAAAAAGAAACTGACATCAGAGAATATAAGGAAAATGAAAATGAAAAGAGTGAAGGTAGGACATATAATATACTGAGTCTATCAACAACCAAGTATAAGATATTTATTTCAAAATGGTTTGAATAATTTACTGAATGAAAACATAGTTGGGTCAAATAAGGAGATATATGAACAATGTAAAGACAGTCTACAGACCTGAACAACATAAAGACAAAAATACCTTTAAATAAGGAGAGAGAGAGAGAGAGAGAGAGAGAGAGAGAGCGAGAGAGAGCGAGAGCGAGAGAGAGCGAGAGAGAGAGCGAGAGAGAGAGCGAGCGAGCGAGAGAGAGAGATATTTGGAAGTTCATAAAAGAGGTAAAATCTCCCCTCATGGAAAAAGTCTGCATACAAAGTATATCTTTAAGCAAATGGAAAGAGTACTTAGAAAGAAAATTATTAAATGAAGGAAGATCAGACTTTCCGGAACTACAGGAAGGGAAAAGATCTCTCCAGCCAGAGAAATTACAGTAATCAAAGAGAGGGTAAAGAGATGTATCAAAGAAATGAAAGGAGGCAAGGCTTTCCCATGGTCTTTCAGGATACAGCAAAGGCCTACTTTGATAGTGTGCAATGATGGTGTAATGGTTAGCGTACTGGACTGTTGTACCCAGGTTTGCGGGTTCAAACCCAATCGAAGCTGTGAATTTTAAGGGCGAAAAAATCCTTCGTACATTTTACTTCGGAGGGGAAGTAAAGCCGGCTGTCCCATGTTAGTAGATTTACTTGCATGTAAATGATCCTCAAGCCTAAATGACACCTCTGAGCAAAATTCAAATCGCCTGTTTCTTGCCCAAGAAATACCTCCTTTCTCTGAAATACCTCTAGTTGATGAAAGGAGCGTAGCGAAATTGGCATGGTCAGACAGAAGAGCGAGCCTGATGGCCCGAGTCTCGACACATAAAAGAAGGCAAATTCAATTCAATTCAATAGTGTGCCAGTCAATGTTATGGGAAGTTATGAACAAAAGTAATGTAATTAAAAATTAATAAATGCAGTGAAGGATGTGTACAAAGGGAAAAGGGAAATTTGGGAAACAGATGACCCAAACATTTCTTATATCAAAAGGACTACGGCAAAGTTGCTGTGTCATCTACCCTCTTTAAAATATATGAGATAATGCAATGTTAGAGGTATGGAACAGAAAATGGGATGGGAATACAACTTTATGATAATACAAAGCTCTATACCCCATAGTTCACTGATGATCAGATGCTGATGGCTCAAGAACACGAAGATATTGAATATACGACTTAGGAAGATAACAAAAATAGGAATTAAGCTTCAACCTAGAAAAAACAGTATACTGGACTCTAGGCAGTACACATGATGTATTGGCTATGGAAACTGGAGAAATGAACAACAAAAAAGAACAACAGATAACATAAAGTACTTGAGAACAACAATAGGGAAACAGGGTTTTTATGGAAAGGAATGTGAAACCAGACTCATCAAAAGAAAAATTTTTGGAACCCTGAATCCAGTGATCTGTGATCCAAATATAACCAAGAAACTAAAATTAGAATATACAAATGTATGAATGAAAATATTACATTATATGGAACAGAAATATGGCAACTTCCAGAAAAACAAAAAATAAAATTGAGAGCACTGGAAATGGATTTTCCCGAAAGAGCTGCAGCAATATCTACAAGGGAAAGAGTTAGAAATGAACAGGTTAAGGAAATAAAGAATCTGGATTTAGATGAAATTGAATAGAATCAACATACTTTGGATATGTACAACCAATGGTCGAGAAAAGACTCCCCAAAAGATCATTAGAACGGCAACAAAGTGAAAGGAGAAAATGAGGCAGACCAAGTTCAGGATGGAATGACTAGATCAGAAAGATAATTGAGAAGTGGAAATCACCTCCTGATTCCCGGAAGAACAGAAGACTAGAGAAGAAGATTAGGCCTTGGAAGACTGAAGTAGTGGATAAGAAACTGGCAAGAAAAATATATATTCTTAAACCTTACAGTTGAAACTGGAAATTCTGAGTAGCTTAAGTACCTGAAAGAATGGAAGCCCCAAAAATCTACAAGAAGGATCTAGAAGATTGTCCACAAAACAATCGCAACCTACATTTTTAAATATTTGTTTTAAAAGTGAAAGTGGCTTCATACTGGAACAATTTAAAATATTTCTGACAACTCCTGTTATGGGATGAGGGATCCCTTAAAAAATATAGTTCCCACTTTGTATATTGTGGCATAAGAATCAGACCTTGTGTCCCTTCAGGGAGGTTATCGGTTGCATGCCTGGTCTTCTTCCTGTGACTGAAAACTTTATATTTTTCATCTTAAATCTGACTGATGCAATTCTCTATCCATCAGTACTATAGTTATGGTGTTTTGGGAGAATGTTGCAAAATCGTCACTCTTGCTTTTGCATATCAAAGACAAAGAGGAAGTGCAATTAGAGAAATAGCCAAACCACTCCATCCCCCCTCCCAGCCCACTTAATTTGCTCCACTAGTTTTTAGGGAGTTTATAAACCAGATTTTCTTGACGGCTATTCATATTCTTTACCACAAAAGCTGATTAGGTTAGAGAAACCAAAATTCTCTATTCTTTCCAATGAATTGCTAATAAATAATATTATAAAGGGAAATAAAATAACAATATTAGGAAGAAATAAAATTAAACCCAAAATGAAACAGGGATAAACGAAAAACAACAACAAACAAACCCAGTTTTCACCATGTGCTATTGAACAGGTGCTGAGAGATCAACATGTTACGACACCAAAGTTAGTTCTTACATTCACCATTTAAACACTCTCAAATATGAAATAGACTTCATATAGGGCATAAACAAACATCAGTTCAGAATAAGCAGGGTTAATTACTGGTAGACTAATGTGATCAGTAAACAAACCACCATTCACAATGACAAAAATTATCACCCAATAATTTTTTCTTTTGCCTTTTTCTTAACCTCGCATTTTCCCACATATCAGAACTTTACTTAATTTGTATGATCCTAGAACATTAGTCAAATTAATAAACTTAGAGTTCAAGGAAAAGTTAATCAACTGATTTACTAGAAACAGAGTAACTGCCTAGTAATAAAACATACCCCATCCTGGATGGTAAACTGAATAGCATTTCCATCTTGATCTGTAACATGGAGCTGTGGTTCCAGCTGGATAGTTGCAGTCTGAGACAGTTGGTCTAGCTGAAGTTGTGTGGGGTCTGGTTCTGGACCCACTACTTCTTCAGGCTGAACTTCTGCAGTAATTTGACTCAGAGGATCACTCTAGAAAAATAAATATTACACTCAAACAATTTTTTATGTAGTGTGCCCATTAAAATACTCTTTTCTACACTTTAAACTCCTTTTTTATTATTGTTAAATCAATGTAAGAAACAAACTATCATATTACTAAACTTTTCCAGGGTTGAGAACAATAATTTTCCAGATTCTGATACTGACTTTCCACACACGTTTGCATTTTAACATTTTATTCATATCACGACACTTGACCACCAGTAGTCACATGATGTCCGGCTATGGCTGCCGGCAGCAACATAGAAGTCATGTTACAGGGAATTTTGAATTATTTAAATATGTATATGTAAGCAAATTTATAAACATGTATCAAATTCTGTATACCTAAAAGAAGATTAATAAAATTAAAATTACTGTCGTGGAATTCTAAAAGGGTAAAATTTTCAATCATTACTAAGAAACAAATTCACAAAGAATATAGGTATTTTAAGCAAATTTGATTTATTATGTCTACAATTTTCTTCCTTGTGAAGTAAATGGAAAAAACTTGTGAGAAGGGATTTCAAAACACATTGAATTGATTTTGAAAATTCGTTAGGGGTTATCCATAAACTATGTAAGGCTAATGGTAGGGAGAGGGAGAAAGTTTGAGACATGTTAAGCACACTGATTTTTTTAACATTTGCTGAAATGATTCCTTTCATTCAATCTTACACTAAAACATGAAAATACCAACAAATGAAATTGAAAAAATATAAATGAATAAAAAAGTTATGATGTATAAGTTGTTACAATAAATGGAAATATTTTTCATCAATGAATTCATTGAATCTGTTACATTGCAAAGAAAATATTCAAAACTGTTCTTCATCTATTAATTATACTATAATGTATACTACATAATATATATGATAATTATAATATTATAGAAACCAATTAAATTGGCACAGCAGACACACTCGTATGCATTTCAACAGAGTGAGCATGGCCTTTTTGCCAGATTTTTTTCCCTTATGTATCCTTCCGTCAATAAAAATTATTTCACAAACTTCATTATTTAAAAATTTATTCACAAGCTTATTGTTAGGTGCAGTCAGCCTCACTAACTAATTCTCACTTTAATTATAAGTGTTAATACACAGCAAATAAAATTTACATTGTTTTTTCTGTTATATAATTTATTTTAACTTAAAAACAAGGGGAGGGGGTGTTGCAAGCTTCATGTAATTAGGGGGGTCAAGTGGGTGACTCAGGTATGTTATGAGGGGGACAAAAGACCAAAACTACTGTAAGTAGATGGCATTTACCGAGCCATTTAATAGCGTTTTACTCAGTCAATAACACTTTGCTTATTTTGAAAATTAAATCATTCAACACATTGGGATCACTTGATTGATTTTCAAGTTATTTCAAAAAATAGAATTAGACAAATATAAAAATTTTTATTTCTGATGCAATTGAAGTTTCATCAAGTATACCCTAGGAGTTTTTTTCTTTTCTTTTTGTTTTTTTGTTGTTTTTTTAAACCGAGCTTTTACTGTCTGTTGACGATTTGAAACTGTTCAAATGTATCATATCTAACAATGACAGTGGGAATTTATAATATGGTATGCTGGCTCTTCATTATTGACGCCATTCAAATAATTTACACTTTAACCTTCACAAACGTAAATACATAACATTTTCTAGAGGTAGTAAAACCTTTGATAGTTCACACTTGATCAACGAGTTAATCTCAAACTTGTTTATTTAAAAGGAGATCTTGGTCTAATTTATGAAAGTAAAACAACATTTAACAAACACATTGATATTATTAATAAATCAATACAACAGCTTGGTCTAAATAAGAGCTCTTGTAAAGTAATATATAGTAGTCTAGCATTGAAAAATCTGTAGTTTTCCTTAGATAATATATGTTGTTTGTCTCTACTGTGTGGTCACCATACTTTAATGAACACATTAATAGACACGAGGAGAGCAACACATTTTTTTAGAATTCTTGCAAAGATTGACCCTTCCTGATCTTTACCTTAATCTTAATTATGTAAACATTTCTTTAGAATCTATAATTTCTATACTTCATTCTTTGAAGATTGATAATGATATGTTTTTATGCAAATTAATAAATAACTCAACAGATTGTCAAGTACTTCTAAAAACAGTTAAATCTCTCTTTTACACTTTCCGTGAGACCCTAGGTAAAATAGTGTAAATTGCGGGAAGTGTGAATAAGCGGAAGTTTTTTTTCTTCAAAATTATGAGTACTACACTGTATAATGTATTTAAACTATTATTAACAATTAATTAGGATTATAATATGCTTTAATATGCAGTTTTAGATACATAGAGAAGGTTAACTAGAAATTTGACCGAAATTTATGACATTGGATATCGAAAGTGTATTAACGGAACCATAGTGAATTTTATATGTTGCAATGACACTTCCACAAGTCTCCGCCATCCACAGATGGTAACCTTTCATGATGCAACAACGTACGTATTGTTGGATGAAGGGAGGGAAATGGTACATCTACTGTAAACATAAAATGCGAAGTTTACATTTTCTCCAACTCAATAAAACATTTATTTTCGGCAGTTCGTAATGATTTCCAACACGCAATTTTTTAAATTTATTTATGAAATAATACAATGAGGGTTCATGAAACAAATTGTCAGTTAAAAACGCACAGAGAATTCCATACTTTAATGCTTGAGCTATTAAAAATAATAAAATAAAAAAACCCAACCAACTTACGTTTATTTTAGAATGAGAAAGTGTGAAGGAGGAGGGTGATGTAAAGTAAGCAAAGGATCGTGAGACACACTTTTAGGCACGTGTCACATGAGCGTTGCGTTGACGTGCGTCACGATTCTTCGTTCGCTCGGCAGTGGAAACGAAACACCCGAGCGAACGCTCGATCGGAATATTCGTTCGGTGTAAACAAATGCAGGCGCCGAGCGCTGAGAGGTTCGGGGCGCGGTCGAACGTTTTCTTTTTTATCTGCGAACACGTTAGCGAACGGCGCTAATTTCAACGGTTTTGTGGGCATAAAGGCGAATTATGCAGTTTGTAGTTTGCATAGAAAAGATACGAAACTTTTAAATGATAAGTTTTATGGCGGAAAAGAAAAGATACTTTACAAAATACACAAATTTACTTATTTTAAATGGATGTTTAAAATTTGTTTCAATATTACACATTATTATTGCGGCCGCCACAGACAATTTCACTTCTATCCAAATCCATTTTAATAATAATGACGAAGCTGTGGCTTGAAGATTGAAGTACGTATTTCACATTTGATTTGATATTATTTTTATTATTTTCATTTAATTGTATTATCTCAGGTACTTCTGCTCGTTATAATACTTTTTACATAAATTAACATCCTTTTGTTGAATGTTAATTCACATTTTTTGGAGAAATTATGACCTTTTCGCAGACCTAGACTCTAATATGGAACATGTGAAATCTGTCGTTTTTTCCGTTCTTGTAAGAACTTTATAAAGAACAACAATTTAAAACCATTAAATTCAATAAAAGTAATGAATTTTAATTTTAGTTTAATTCATAAACCAGTTTTTATTATGAAAGCGCGCGAATAATAAGCCCGAAATTTTGTCGTTCATCTTCTAACCTTTTTACTTTGAAAAGTACATTCAGTCGCTTGTTCGCACTGCAATAACACTACAGATATATAATAACCTAACTTGGCAGGGCTGCCGCTAAGAGCGAACAATATGGCAGACCAAACATTCGGAGAGCGAGGTTGCTCGGGGTGAACGGGAAGTAACTTCTTCCCCGCAATCATCCGCGGAACGAAAAGCCTCAATCTCAAACAAATGGCATTGCATCAGGTGCTACCCGTTGGGAATAGGATTAAAAATCGTAGCCAAGATTGTTAAGCAATGCACCAATCGACGAGGCCAAGTGGCTGCAACGCCATTGTTCGATGACCAGCAAGTGCTATTCTAAGTTTTGCAACAGATGGAAAACATTTTCCATTGATGTAAGAAATCTATATCCAATACCAGAAAAGGATGATAAAAAAACTTTCTTAGCAAAACTTCCAAAATTGGGACCATCTAACATTACCATTAGAAAGAAAATGTAATTCACAACTCGATCACACGAAAAATTGAACAATGCATATTTTAATCAATCTGTTAAAGAATGAATCTGATGCCACGAACACGTGTGGGACAGGAAGAAAATCTGGTAACACAGAAGGGAATTACGTCAAATGAAAGACAAACGCAAATTCAACGTGCACAATTTTAGGGGGGGGCTAAATACTGGGAGGACCAAAAAGAAGTGTGATTGATAAATGCGAAGACGACAAGAGAAGTGGCAAACCCATGATTATGATTTTAAGGCACAAGAAAACACTGATAGACAAGGCAATAAGTTTTATCGTTCTCATTAATAAGGCAATTTTCTTATCAATTTGACAATTTCAAATTTTAGTTAAAAATTCAAAACATTCTCAGGAGGGCTTTTCCAAATTAGGAGGTTATCTTGTTTTCAGGAACAAAATATGAGTGCATATATACAGTAAATAAGGTATACATCTAATAATACGATCACAAGAATGTGCAAAGTAGTGAAGACTTTTGATAGTGATGTCTTAGACCTTAGTATAAACAACCTCATCAATTATTTCAAATCATTGATCTTCATATTTTCATGATGCTCAGTATCTATGACTTACGTTTCATCAATTATTATAATTGTGATACCCCACAAAGGGCCGGTTTCACCAAACGAAGAGTAAGAGTTTACTCTGGAGTAAATCACGTTTACTCGAGAGTAATTTCTTGGAGCGTTTCACCAACATTTTACTCGAGTGTAAATGGCTTACACAAGAGAAAATTCGAGAGGAACTTTACACCACGAAAATCCGTCGGGTCATGTACCTCCGAAGCGTTGTTAAGGTTCCACGATTACGAATGATAGTATTTGAATACGATTTCAGCAATGATTCGGAAGATTATCCACAAGTGCGAAGACAAAGGGTGCGAGATACAATGGAATGGTTTTAATTATGACGATCGAGATTTTGTCATGAAGTTATGTTTGACCAAATCAGTTGTTTAACTTCATCAGATACATTGTAAACTGTAGAGAACTTCTAAAGTTCTTTTTCTCCCATGTGGATACGAAATAAAGGTAGTAGGTACCGAATACGACAACAAAAGGAAAAATAATAACTACAGGAACTACAAGTACTAAGAAATATTCATTTATTTATTCGGTAAAAACTGTATGTGACGTATGGGGGAGATCATTTACGCACGTTTTCTTGATTTCCAGAATCCCTTTCCAACACTTTAACTACAAATAGTTGAAAGATTAATGAAAGTTTAAAAAATAAAACAACATATAATAATAAAATTTAGAAAAACACGCGATAAGCAACATTTGAAAAACTAAACATTTTCGTTCTCTAGTTATAGAAAATTCATTTGCACCGCCATCAGTAAACAAACTGCAAATTAGATTTTTCTGCATTGCTAACAAAATAGTAACTCGTCTCCAGAGAAGAAGAATGAATGTTTATTAAGAAATAAAGATACAGAAACTAGGAAATAAACTATGCTAACTCAAACTACCATAACACCACACCAGATTATAACGCCAAGAATTCCGAAACTGAAATGAATGATAGAATATAAGGAATTAATCAAAGGTTCACGTTGGTCCGCATTGTTTCCCAGTGTCATTCTCATTCACAGCCTCTTGAATCGCTCTCAAATATTGTGTGTTTAGCTGATTTGCGGAGTAAATTGGAGAGTATGTACTCTAGAGTAAAATAACCCTCTAGAAGCATGGTGAAATCCTCATATTCTACTTGAGAGTTACTATCTTGGAGTAAATGGTTACTCTCAGGTAACTACTCTCAACTTTACTCCACTGTTGATGTAACCGGCCCAAAGGGACAGAACACATTAATATATCTTTATAAAGTTTATTAGTTTATCTTGTTATCTTTTTTCACAAAATGTAATTTTCTATACTTTTGTAAAATTGACATATCAATGTCTGTGAAGTTTAATAAATAAATAGAGAGACTCTCAAGATATATTTGACAATAACTTAAAGTCTGACAACTTCTCATTAAGCTTAATGTACCGACTGAAGAAAATAATATCTTTCACACTGCTTACCCTACTTCATTTTTAAGTATAAGCAGAGCTTATTTGTGCTCTAACATACAACACTCACTGTGCTGGATACTCGGATTGCCATGAAATTTTACTAGTTTATTAAGCACCTTTCAAAACTCATAAATATAAATTTTTAACTGCTATGAAGCATTACAAGTACAATTTTTATGACGAGTATTGAGACATTCCATGATTGCCGGGGCATGGAAATTGTCACATGCTGTAAGTCCAGCAGCTGTTATAAGTATTGTGCTGCTGCTATTAGCCTGACAGCAGGGTGTCCATTGTCTCGGGGCGCACACAGGGTCACAAAAACAGGTTTTCATTTGGCAGGTTGAGAATGATGGGAAGATGGAATATATGCCAAATAGTTGTTGCAAAGATGGTCTCTGACAATACTATCTGAATATTTAGTATTTATTTTCTTTTTCAGTTTTCTTAAAAATAGCATGGGTTTACAATACCCTTACAACCAACTTCAGCATAAATATTAAGAATGTGCATCACTGTGTACTTCAAATTCAAAAGAAACAACAGATATGGCCTTTGCTATTAATTGTGAGAGAATGTACGAACTAGAAATCTGGTTGATAGACATTGCGTAACATTCCTGGCGCTGCCGATGCAAGTTTGCCTGCTGTAGGAGGACGGGAGGTTATGGAAGGTCTTGATGCGAAATGCCTCTAAAACATTATTTCTAGTACCTCACAGCAATTTTTAGTGTGGGTTTTGTATGGAGTTCTACCAGTCAGTGAAATTTCATATGAATCTGTGTATCCAGGATGGTGAGTGTTGGGTGTAAGAAATAAGATGGAATTACTTCTGACTATCACAAGTCTCAACAGGTGCATGTTCAAAATGGAAAACATAGCAAGCGAACTCTAATGCTTTGAAAGAAGTATGACAAACTTTCAACAAGTACCACCAATATCAAATAATAAATACATTTAATTAAATAGCACACTCACTTTGTCTTCCTGTAATGTAGGTGCAGCCTCTTCCTGGATGCCATCCACAATATGCAAGGTTCTTGCCTCACCAGGATCCTCTGGATCTTGGTATGTAACATAAATAATTTGTTGAATGTCATCCTCTTTTTTGACACCCTCCCCTCCAGTACCATCATCCTCCGTGCCTTCCCCTCTTGCTGCCTCATTTGACAAATGGCTGCGAATGATATTCCATACTGTTCCATCAACTGGTACAGTGTCTTGAGAAACAGGATTTTCTTCTTCCTTTAAATCTCGATGCTTCCCCTGTGAAGAATTCAGAGAAAAAATAAAGAAATTAGCATCCATCTTTTCCTTCACTCATATGAATAAATAGTAATTAACACACATTTCCTGAATGGACAAAGAAGCTGAAGAAATGAATAATAATTAAAAAAGAATTAGGCAAGCAAACAATACAACATAGAGAGTAACAACAAAAAACTAACTAAGCTTGCACAAACTATAAAATATTTCCTGAAGATAAAATTTGTTACTTTGGGCATCTATTTTTCAAATCAGTTACAATAGAACATTTCACAAAACAGATAAAGTATTTTTATTCGATGTAGTTAAGTAAACTTTATTGATTCCATTGTTTATGGACAATTATGGATTTATACTCTACCAAAATAAATCAATGGCTAAGAATCTCATTACCCTAAAAATTTCTAAGTGTCACATTAGGTCCATTTGTTTACACTTCCTATCAACGATTTTATTAAAAATGGAAAGATTTGTACCACATGAGCAATACTCCACAATAATGAGATATTTCATTAAATTTTTTTTTTATGTAGTGGTAATGGATATAATAAGGTAGGGCAATGGGGAGGAAAATATTTTAATAATATCACAAATGAAAACTGCATTCTCACCTTCTTATGCTTTGTGAGATTAGAACAGTCAGCAAATGCTTTCCCGCATACATTACACACATAAGGCTTTTCACCTGCAAAGAAGAAAAGTATGTATAATTTTTTAACATTAAAACTTTCCTCAGATTAAAATATACATTAACAGAAGAAGCCTAACAAACCATACATCAATTTAGGAAGAAATTTGTGACAAAAACAATGCTGTGTGTGTCCTTGCTTGTCATCAAACAACTGCAGGAGTTTGGTGTCAGGGGAAATTAATAACTCTTCAAAGAAAACATTATTTTCAACTACAATTGGATATGCACTACATGAATGGTTGATTTTATATACATATTGCTGTCTCTACAATATTCCTCTACAAGCATCTACAAAAAGTGCTTACATTCAGAGCATGCAGAGGCAAGTCAAATTTATTAGACAGCTACTAGCGAATGTGGTTTGAGCATGCTAAATTTCTATTTGTAGCACTATTGCTGAAAATGAAACAATGATCAAATGTTTTGACAAAACAGATTGTTACATTTAGACTACATTTAGCACTATCACTACCAAAAAACTTAAAGAAAAGTTTTGGAGTAGTTTTTGAAAAAATCTTGTTTTTATTATTTTTTTTTTTTATAATATCCGTTGCGCCTAAACGATGCGTACAATATTTTTCCAAATTAAAGATACCTGTCCATCTGGCTAGAGTCAAAGCGTTGAGATTTTGAAAAAACTGTGTGTGTGTGTGTGTGTGTGTGTGGGGGGGGGTACTTTGCATAAAACCCTCCCAACATTTTCTCAAAAACTGCACCAATTTTTTTCTTTAAATTTCTTGTAAGGATAGAGTAACATACACTTATAAATGTATCAAAGGTCTCATTTCCACAGTAAACTCTAAATATTCGAATATTTCAAAAGTATGAATTTTTTTTTTGGTGCCTTCCTATAAGGTTAAAGATAAATTTTCCCTTCGAATAAAATTTGTTCTTCATAGTGAGTTCTTTCATTACGGTCATTTACATTTTTTGAAAATTTCATTTTACGGTCATAAAAATCATTTTGTTCTATTTCTTTTTGTCTTGTCCTTCACTCTCTTAATATTAAAACGAACGGCAATTTGTTTATATTTATGAGTTCATGTGCTTTATTTGATGTCAGGTAATGTTTGTTGAAAAATCAACTGTTTTCTGTGAAAATCAGTTCAAAATTCCGCATTTTCAAAACCGGTCAAAGCGTTTTGAAAAAACTGCTCCATATTTTGTTTTCAAAGTTTTCGAATGGATAGTGCTAATTGCACTGTTTAATATCGTAAAGCTCATTTAGGTTTTTTTTCTTGACGATTACAAAAAAGCAAATTTGTAAACACTATTGTATTTTGGGGTTTAAGTACTTCAAATGAAGTTTTTCAAAAACTCAAAAATTTTGTAGGAAAAATTGCTTGCATTTCGAACAGTAGTGCTTAAGCATTTTCTTCAAAACAGCTCCAAATTTTTCAAAGTAAATTGCAATTAAAAGGAGATTTTACTGTTCTTTCATATTCTTAAAATTATATTTTCGTTCTATTAAAAAAATAAAATTTAAGAAAATTTCAAAAACAAAATCCTTTGCACAGCAATAGATGGCAGCTGGCAAGACTTTGTAGCAAGTCCGAGAAGCTAGCCGAGATCAAATGAAATAGAAAACTAATACATGAAAGTCTGTGCGTGTCATTTTTAATTTACTTTAGACAATAATTTAAGAAAACTTGCACAGATGGTAATAATTAAGAATGTAAATATATTTTAAATTTTAATAAAATAATGTACTTTTTACTTTACTTTAATTACTTCTTTACTTCCTTGCATTAATTTCCTAGTTACAGAACAGAAAAATACCAATATTACAGGTGTCATAAATTGGACAACTCTTCATAAAACGGAAACCTCCCTAAAACAGACATTTTTTTGTCCCTATCAATTCCGGCTTAGACAGATTTTACTGCAGTTGAGTAGAGCCTGGCGGGGTTATTTTGTTAACAATTCAAAAATTAAATAAAATCTGTAGTTTACTGACACAAATAAGTTTTCTATAACTTGGGAGCAAAAGTTTGTAGTTTTCAAAAGATGCTAACTTTGCTTCTTTTGAAACGTTTTTCAACATGCAACCATACATAGTTAAAATGATTGGAAGAGATTCTGGAGCTCAAGAAAACTTGCACAGATGGTACTTCACCCCATTCCCCCATACTCCACATACAGTTCTTACTGTTCTTTGACTAAATAAATCAAAGTAATGTTGGTAGCAGGTAGTGGAGCAAGCCAACAAAAAATTATTAAGTTTTCGCTTTACTCATAATACTTAATTTTGATTATGCATTTTTCTTCATACACATTTTTTCCCTTACCTGAAAAACATATAAAAGAAGTGTTCTGTAATTTCATTTGACTTCATCGATTAACACCGACCTTTAAGTATGTGTTGGTATACGTGAATTAAAATTAAAAGAAAGTCAGTAAAGCTGTAGTAGTGTATGACACATTAGATAAAAGATTTGTAAGCTGGCTCCAGTTGGTCTATTGGGCTCATGTCACATTCTATTCGTTACAAAATAAAATGTCACTTTTACTATTTGTATTACAAATAACAATTTTATTTAATTTTTGAACTTCATCCAATCATTTCAAATTCTACATATTCAAAATGGCCTAATCTCTGTTAAGAGCAGATAGTTGGAGTTCAACGGTAAAATTTCAGCTGATGATATAACAAACGTAATAAAAACTTGAGCCTCTAAAAAAATTAGAATCTAAATATAATTGTTAGTTTTCCAGCAATGATGTGTAATAAATTTGTAATTAAGTATTGGTTAAGAACACACAAAAGTAAAATGAATCTTTTGAATTTGATTGAATGAATCTTTCTGAATTTACAGTAACTACTGCATTTTTATCAGTAATTTGAACTAATTTAAAAGATCTACATTCTTTTTTAATAGGTCTCTTAAGCAAAATCTCTGAAGGTTTCAAATAAGCATTTTCCCCTCAGTAATATAAGCAAAGAACTGTCATTAACTCCTACCTGTATGCAAACGCAGGTGCTTCTTGAGGGCCCATTGTTCTGTGAAGCTGCGGGCACAGTAATGACATTGAAAAGGTCGCTCCCCCTTGTGACGGCGGGTGTGACACTTCCAAGTGTCCTTGTGCAAGAAGGACTTTGCACAGAACTCGCATTTCCATGGACGCTCACCAGTATGTCTCTTTACATGCAATTTGAACTGGAAAGTGCAAATACTTTACAATGGAGTACTAAAGGCAAGCAGAAGTTTGATTAGAAAGAAGGAAATGTTACAATAACCATGGTATCTTGAGAAGAAAATTGAAATCATTTGGAATGGTGGGAACACTTTTGCACTGATTGTCTAGGTAGAATCCAATTCATTAAATATTATAACTGAAGTTGTGTCAAAACTGATGTACTGCCAGTAACATTGCAGAGTTCACATTCCTTACTTTTCATTGTACAGAGAATTTACAAGACCTACCTGAGATGAAGTTGTGAATTTCCGACCACAGTAATCGCAACAATATGGTTTTTCTCCTGTATGTATACGAAGATGTTCTTGCAGATTTCCATTTTGAGAAAAACTTTTGTTGCAAACATGACATTGGTATGGCTTATGGCCTGAAAGAAGCACATTAGAATATTTGGAGTTAAAATATGCAGAACTGAAAACAATATTACAAAGAAAAGCCTAAATTAAAAAATTCGGGGGGTTCTAGCACAATTCTGGTTATGAGTGGAGATTCTGAATATTTATTTGTTCACCGTGAACTTGAGCTCTCAGAGTGCTAAAAATACAAACATACGGCTGACAAATTCTACTAATTATCTCTCTTACTATATGAAAAGTTAGTGCACTTGCACAAGAACATGGCAAATAACAACATGCACCAGCAAGCAGAACGGCATTCTATTTATAACCTCACACTTTTAAGACAAATTGATGCTCTGTTAACCATGTCCAATATCATGATGAGGCTCTGTCCTTCATCCTTCTTGATTAACATTGAATATCCTTGGGTCTGATTATCACATAATTCTAACTTCTTTTATTACAAAGTACCTTTCCCCTATTGCTTCTAAGTTACAAATGACGCTTCACTTTGTGTGTCGAGGTTCATAAAGCAGCTCCAACCTAAGTGATTTGTATAAAAACATCCTCAAGCCTGACTAATGCATTATATGCAAACATATTTTTAACCAAATCAAATGCACCAATCTCATTTGAACTAGAAAACAATGGTCTCATTCCCACCACTCATTCTTCACTGTTGTTCACACATCTTACAGTGTGAGAGTTTATTTGTTACAAAGAAAAGACCCACAAATTATTTTTGGCACTTAAAGCAAAACTCTAATTTCTGCACACAACCAGATCTGTAGAAGAATACTCAAAATTTCTAATCACAAAAACGTTCAACCCTCATTTCATAAAGATGGAATGACAACACTTGAAAACCCACCTGTGTGCCATCGGTAATGGAGTGTGAGACTTGTCTTATGAGCAAATTGCTGGCCACAAAGTTCACAGAAATATTTCTTCTCGCCTGTATGAGTTGGCTGGTGGTTGAGTAAATTGGCTTTGGTCTTGAATGTTGCACCACATACTTTACAAGCAAATGGCCTAAAAATTAAACAAAAACAATTCTTAATTTACTACACCTTACATTTTGCATTCAGAATTTTATACTAGAAATGGAAATGCATTTCTTTCTTTTGACATAGGCATCCTTGGTTGAAATGATAGCTCTGACACTCGCACTTTATTTAGTGCTGTGTCACAGTTCTTGTGCATCACCTAGTCATGCAATGACAGCTGCGATGATGCCTGCGCACACGAGTTGCTTAATGTGTGTCGTAGATAATCATTGTATCTTATGTGAAACGCACACGAGCAGTCTTGGTGATGTGTTGTGCCCACAGCTCAAGCAACAAACGTAAGTCATGATAACACATTTTCTAGGATTCACCTCATGACAGTGGCAAGGCAATGAGCAGTGGGAAATGCGCTCAAGTGCCATCTCACATTAGATACAATGTTACACTACAACGTATCTTACATGACTTGTGAGCACAGGCATCATCAGAGCTGATATCATCGTTAGGTGACGATCGTGACCCAGACCAAAGTGTCGTAAGTCTTTGCCTATGAGTTTCAATATTTATTTTAAATGCACCGATTTTTATCATGCAATATTAGATGTCCCATCTGATGAAACTAGCACTCCCTCTTTGTACATTCTGTATTTTTGTCCAAAACTGACATTTTAAACCAGTGGAAAGCCTTGCATAGCAATGAAATGAAATAACCTGAATACTGAATTCAACACAATAATTCCATGTGTTCTTCTATGATAACATAAATGTTCTCACTTTTGTTCACATATTCATTTTGGACATTATACGTTCTTAAAGCGACTTTCAATATGAACATGAAAACGTAAAATGTGTGTCTGAAATAATTTAGTATGGGAAGTATAAGAATTTATCCGTGATTTACTGAATACGAAGTATATATGTAAAACGTATCAATGACGTTTGACTGTACTTCTTACAATCAATTATATTGATGCTTTTTGATAAGTCAGACTTAATTATATTGATGTATTTTGATAAATCAGTATTCAGCACTACTCTATTCACAATGGCTTGTGTGCTTTCCCAGCCTTGAGTCCAGAAATGCAACATAATACACATTGTGACATGAGCCTTTCAATTTTGAAAAACATTAATTTAAAAAATTGGAAACGATAAGCTATGATAAAAATTAAATTAATTAAATAAATGTTCAAATTATAATAAAAATTATATGATGCTTTGAGCTTCATTGGCCCCAATGAGATTTACAGCTCCTGGATCACCCCACTACCCCACTCTTCTTGAACCTACAAACAGGGGACATGCTACCGAGATTTCACTGCATAAAATCAATTATAATGAGTTGCACATACATCCATCAGCGAGAGACAGAAACGGTGTATCTTTACCTGTTATCAGAATGTACAAGCTGATGTCGCTGCAAGAGCTGTTTGTGTTTGAAACCTTTCCCACATTTGTTACACACAAATCTTCTGCCATTGTTGTGTTCTGCCTCTTTATGATAGATAACTGAACTTGGATGATTGAAGGTCTTTCCACAAACTTCACAGGGATAGCCCTTTTCTGTTCTTTGTTCCTATTGAAAAACTTATTTAGAGAAAGGACTGAAATCGTCATTAACACACATGCACATAAAAATGTATTCTTACCTCATGAACAGTCATGTGTGCTTTTAAACTGTTATGATAGGCAAACATTTTACTACAAATTTCACAGATGAATGGTTTTTGGCCTTCATGAATGGCTTTGAGATGAACCTAAAACAAAAAAAAGTTTCTCAAATTTGCAATAAAAACAAACAAAAAATTAAACATTAATTACTTAAAAATGGCTCTTCCTAAAATACTCCACATATAAAAAATGTTTCATATTTTAGAAATCTAAGATTTTTATGTAAAACGAAATTATTTACACAAAGCCAAACTCAATAATATTTATTCTGAACTGAAGTATATAATTATGTGAATGACAATAAGAGGTGGTTTTTGGCAGTTCTATTTCAAACATAAGCTAGTGGTGCTACAGAATGGCACAGACTTTCTGTTTTAGTTTTCTATTTTTTTTTTGTCTTCTGTAGCTATTTGAACTTGCCATCTATAGCCGCCCAAAGTGCATTTTATTAAAATTTTCAGTTTCCTAATAGTAGAATGGAAATATTATTATAAGAATATTGAAGAACAATAAAGCCTCATCCTAAATGACAATTTTCATTGAAAGATTTGGAGGCTTTCCCTAAACTATGTATAATACCCTGTATACACATATGAATATGGGGAAAGTAGAAAAATATATCAATACATCTGAAATAAAAGTAGCAGCAGTAGATGTTTGTTATTTGTATGTGTGTGGAAGACTGAAAACTGATGAAATGAGCACTGGAGACTTTCTCACCTATAAAATATAACTATTTTAAGATTTAATTTGTTTTCTTTATTGTATTATTTTAAGTATATGACAGTCATTTATTTGTTTCTCAAAAAATGTATACGTTTTAATTTACCCACCTCATAACTTTGTTTTGTTTGAAAGGTTTTGTCACATTGACTGCAAGGGAATCTGTTTTTGGCAGGTAGTTCCATAACATCTTTTCCATCTTCAAGACCTTCAATTATACCTGCAATTTTTACAAACATTAATTAAAAATATGCTATTACCACCAAAAATAACCCAATGCAGATAAAAAAATCATATTGCATACCTTCTCCAGAATGACCAGTTGTCTTCTGATGAAGTTCAAAGGTTTCACGACTGGTAAATCGTTTATTACAATCACTGCACTCATACTTGACACCCTTATGGTAACTCCTGTCAACAAATATTTTGCAAATAGTATCTTGTTGCCAAAAAATAAAAATGTGAACTCACTTTTGGTACTTTGTGTCAAAATGAAATCCGTCTGGGCAATTAATTAATCTACATATTAAAAGAAAATGTCATATCTGACACCTCCCTCCCCATAAGAATAGAAAAAAGAATGATTAGTTTCCTGAAGCATTGCGAAATCAAAATGTCTGTGCATATTAGATACAGCGAATCAAAAAGAAGCAATTAGATTGGTAAAAGGTGCAATTAGTGCAGGTTGCAGTTTGCAGCCAATCCAATTCGAAACTAAATGAAATTACTGTGACCATCATGAGTCATCCCCAGAAAAACTGCCAGAATGCAAAAGAAGTCTGCCAGTTCACTAAATCCCTCCAAAAAATCCAAACCAATTACGCACTCAATTGACAAATTGTATCACGACATTAGAAGTAGTGACCTGGTTTGTTAATGTCAAGTGACATAACTCATTTTACTTTGAGAATATCATTATGTATATTGTTGTCCATGAACAATTGAAGGATTCATGATCAGAGCCATTGGCAGAAAATTGAAAACTGACTGAACATTGACGAGATAACAGGTTTTCAAAATTACTAGACTTGAAGGAACAAAGAGAGCCCGAATATTTATTTTTTTGTTTCCTAGTGAAGCAATCGTTAAACAAATATGACCCTTCAACATACACCCAAACTTTCTTGATGTCAAGCTGAATTTCAAAAAATAATTGTATAAACTGTTACAGGAAAACCATTCCTATCCAACAACAAAATGGTGCACACAAAATCATTTTACAATTGATAAAATATTAATTTTAAGATTATATAGATACTCACTTGTGAATGATGTACCGGCCTTTGTGTTGAAATCCACGACCACACACCTCACATTGAAAACGATGTTTTCTCCGCTTTCCACGTGGTCGACCCCGACTTTTACTCTTGTTGACTATTACAAGTTCACCCAAGTCTTGACCTTCTTGATTTTCAAGATGACCTATTACCTCTGAGAACAATAGTTATTTTCTAAAAAACATAAGATAATCAAGCTATTTTCCACAACTGCTCATTTTGCACAAATATTTATACCTTAACATATAACAATTACTGATGAATATTAAGTAGAATCAAATTTCTTTTTCATAATTTTGGTTTCACACAGCCATAACAGCAAAGTAGTTTAAAGGAATCCACAATACACTAAGTAAACCGATCTGATCTCACTACATTTTCAAAGAGCATTCAAAATAAAAACAAACAAGAAGTCCTTAATTTCTTCCAGCTTTCTGTTGTTCTTCCTTGGGCTCAAAATACCAAAATAAACAGTAGTATGAAAATGAAGATTTTACACTGTTGTGAATTTGGAATGGTAAAATTACTAAGCAAAGAAATGTTTCCGTATTATTTGTCAATGAAATATTCTGCAATGTCATGTATATACACTTTTCTAGTATTTACCTTCTCCAACATCCTGTTCATCAGCAACTTTTTCTTCCACTTCATCATCTTCACCATCATCTGGTTCATCATCGTCAATAACACCTTCTTCACGGAACATTCTTTCCAATTCCTTTCCTCTCACTGCTTCCAGATACCTGAGACAAGTAAGTAAAATGCTTTCAAATGTACCAAATGCAGGTATAACCTGCTCTATGGGGACAACCCAAAATGACAAGCAATCTAAAAATTATTAGTCAGAAAAAATAATAATTAAATGTAACTGAACTGCTAAAATTCAAATATTTTGCAAACCAAAATTAAACAATTTTTGTTCTTCTATTGACAGCTTTGAAATCCCGACTGTCTTGGATTTTTTAAGTGTATTTTCTAGTGGGCTACTATGTAAAAAATCTAAGGGTTAATAAAAGTTTAATAAATTAAAAGTTTTTAAAATTATTATCATAAAAAATATTGAAGTTTTGTAATACAAGTTTTTAAACTTATTATAATTTAAGTTTAATGTGGATTTCTTTTTATCACATTGATCTCTAAGGAAAATCATGAAACACTGTATAGTACATACCTCTGTTTTCAAAAGCTTAATTTCATGAACATTTTACCAAGTTAAATTTTGTATTATGCACATACTTAAACATTACAGTGATTCAAACAATATTATTTGTTCTTGTAGTTGCAATATTACTTCACATACAATTTATTGAATTACAAGGAATATTTGTTTTTCAGAAGGGGACTGGCATTTATTAGGCCAGAAAACCAAAGGCATACTATATTTTCACAGTGATTTTTTATTTCTTTTTGTCAATGTCAAATTGTTTAAGTAATAATTCCTATAACCCAGACAAAAATTTACTCTTCAGGACCACAGTAGTCAAGCTTATTAATTAGCACTATAGGTAGTAAACAGCATCAAGTCTGATCCAAAGAGTATAACAATGAATTGGCCATTCTTGTCTTATAGACAAAGTCCTTATGTGGTGGTTGAGGACTACTAATGTACTCACAAAACCCCTCTATTGTTTGGTATTAGAATGACACTTTCGTTGTTAATTTTATTTTTTATTGGGTCCTCTAAGTAGCTTTGTAGCAAGTCCACTGTCATGACTTGTAGCCTCAAACCAAAACAATTTCTCTGCTTTTGTGTACGATAAAATAAGACTCACAAAAAGAACAATTTTTTCAGCAAGCCATTATTTCAGTTGAATGTTTAATTATTGACACAATGACATAGTTTTCCATGGCAAACAATTAAAACAATTTCATTCAGTGTTGTGGGAATTGCAATATTAACAAGTATGATTGCACTGCAGTAATGAAATGAACTCAGTCAAAAGGTGAAAACTTATGACACTTCCCATTTATAAGTAAATACCCACTCTTAAAACAAAACTATGATTTACTGCTATCAATTATCAGTTATTAACCACCTTAACTGTTGTCTACATTGAAAAACTAGTATTTACAATTTAAAAAAAATTAAGTTCACAATTCAACAAGTTAATTTCAAGGGTAAATATTCATCTATTACAATGTTCCAGGCTTACTAAAAAAATATTTCTATTACTGTAATAAAAAACCGCATCTTTTTTTGAGAAATATCCACAATACCTTATGGGAGCCTTTCGTTTCCGTCTACGCCTTTTATCTGCATCTTCATCCAGTTCATCATCTGGTGGAAGCTCTTCATCCTTTGAGGGCTCTGGTTCTTCTGCTGGTAGTGGGGGCTGTTCTGGTTCTGGTTGGGGCACCTTCTTTGGCCTACCTCTTTTCCTCCTCGGCTTGTCAAGACCTTCCATCTTCAGGGTCATTTCATGATCCGTGGAGTACAAAGATCCATCAGCCATTACTAAAGGAAAAGAAATATCATTACTGCTTTCAATTAAAACAAATAATACAAGTAAAAAAATGTGACATACTTTGAATGACAATTCTGTTTTCTCCTTCAGTATCCGATGCATTCGGATCATGGGCTGATGTAGTGGTTGTCATAAGAAGTTCTGAAGATCCTTCATTTTCTGATCGCAGCCTTTCTTTTTCTGCTCTCCTCATATATTCTAACTGCAAACAATACATCAATCATTTGACAATTTTTTACATCCAAACACAAGTTGATATAAACTCATTTGCAATAGTGGCTTTTGACATATCTCACCTGATTTTTCCATAAGGCCCTAATTCGCTTTTGCCCATCAACCAACAAATCAAAAAACTGAACTGTCGACTGTAACTGAATATTACAGCCTGGACAAATGGTTCTGGGCAGCTTGCCATCATCATATACCTTCCACGGACAAAACGAAATTTAAGGTTAGAAATCTTTTCTCCACAATGTTTACAAACTTACTGTTTTCGTAAATGAGAATGAACAATTGGGTAAAAAACCTAAGCCATCAATACTTTACAAATCTTTCAAAAGAAGAACAGGACTGTTATAAAAAATGAAATACGTTGAAGAGTAGTAATTATACAACATTAAATTCAAATTCTACTGAGTCGAGCAGTAAACTGAAGTCCTACGCAATTCGTGCAACGATGATCAGTTCACTCTCCATTTTGATGCTAAAATAGGTAGTCAAGTGACCATCTCATTTCCGTCGGTATTATCTTCTTTCTTACCTTGAACGGAAGGTAACGATTTACAAGTCCGCTTAAATCAGTATCGGATTCGTCGTTTTTAAATAACAGAACACCATTCGAATTTTCTTCACCACATAATCTACAAAATGTTGAGTCATATAAATGTACTTCCATCATGGCGGCTTCTTAAGAAGCACAACGAAACTCTTCCCTTCGACATGAAATTGAACTCCCTGTCCTCCAATGGAAACCATCGACACGAATACAAGTTCCGTTTCCTACCATTGGTGGTCACGAACAAACAGCGCCTATGTATATTTGCGGGAGCTTTAAATGATTTTTTGGGAATTGGTATTTGTTCTGCATTAGTGAAATTTTATTTGAATGTACATCCTGAAAGATATAATCACCTTCTGAAAGGTATAATTATGACGCATATTTTAAACTTTCTCGTGCTGAAAAATTAGTACGTAATAGTGGACTGTTGTTACGAAATTTACGTACTGTTTTCACTGGTTTCGAAAACACAGTTCAGATCCGTTTTTCACCCACCTATTATCAAATGGTTGTTTGGGTATTTGTACTAATTCCCAAAATAATCGAAATTAAATGAGTACTCTTTCAGTCAAAGTGTATCCTAATCAAAACATTAATTGTTCACCCAATAATTTTTCTTTCATTAGATTCATTGTCATAATTTTGTGGGCTTCCAACAATTTAAATAATTACTTTCATTCTTCTGCAGAAAAACCTTGAGGCATTATTGAAAATAGAGGTGTTGGGGTACTAGTTGACATATGCAGACTGCAGCAAAATAAGCAATTACAAATTTGGTCAATTAACCTTTTCAAAGTTTTCATTAGTTTTAGAACATGGATTTACACATAACTCAATAATCCTTACTTACAAAAGGCTTGTTCTTTAGATTAATTAATCCATTTTTGAAAATTGTGATAATATAACACCAATATTTTTTTAATTAGGTTTTCCTTTATCTTTAGTTTAAACTCCACTCTTCCTTATGATCATGCTTGATGTTACTTTTCTCAAATTATCACAAAATCCAATTAAAAAAATAAAATTACAGAAGAAATCTCTCATACACACATATATATCACAGTTCAAACAAATATCTTAGATTCATCAATACACAATAAATGATAAAAGAAATAACATTATGGTTCTGGAAAAGCAACAAAAACTCAAAAATTAATATCCAAATGAAATTTTATTTTTTGAATAAAATTTTTATTTTACAAATAGTTCAACATCTCCCCAATCTAAATTTTGCAAACTTTTTTTTTTTTTAATTATGTACAATGAAATAAAATTAATGTATATAAGGCTTCACAACATTCACAATTTGTAGCTCTTTTGCTAGTTGTGAGAGTAGGGTCTGGAGGTTATTTTGTCAATATAAAATCAAATCTGTATTTCAGTTGCAAATAAGTTTCCTAATTTTGCAAAGAAAATCTCTCTAGTTTTCAAAAGCTGCAAACCACACTTGATGGAATTCAACTAATAGTGGTGGGAACTCTGGAGCTCAGGTAAGCATGCACAAATTACACTGGTCCCACATTGCTCACATACAGTTTTTATTGATAAATCAAATTTGTACTCTCTTTAATTAAATATTTTTTTAATATTATGAAATGTATTAGAAAAAGTTGACAAGAGATATTAAAAACATGACTTGGGTCTACTTTTGAAGACACTGTGTGATTAAAAATTTCAACACTTATTTTATATCAATGAAAATACTATTTTACAAAAATAATTATAAAGTTATATTAATTAAAATATATTCATTTATATATATTAAATATAGTTTACTATTTGAATTGTATTTATTAAGTTAATGTCAAAAAAATTAAATGCAAACATGAAACTGAAAACTTTTTAAAATACTCTAGAAGTTTTATTAATTTAAAAGACTTCTAAAATTTAGAAACTAAATTGACAATAAAAAACGACATTAACCCATAACTCTGTATAGATTTTTGAAGCAAGAAATAATGACCTCGGAGAGTTGGACTACCATGGCAATACACCTATTAACAAAACAGGTTTTTGCCATTAAATTCAATGGCATACAAAAATGTTCAGTCCACTACAAAATTCCTGAACAATTACTTTCTCTCAGGCAACATTAAATGACATGACCTACATGATTTTCTGAGTTTAGTTTTTCAAGAAATTCTCTCCTAAAAGAGAGATACTGTAAATATAAAATGGACAAAAGTAAAAAGTACTTATAAATAAATATTCCCAATTTAAATTCATTGTAACATGTAAAAGATAAAATTAATTTAAGTTCAATTCAAAGTAGAATCAAAATTACATTCTAAAAGTTTGGTTTTGTTTTTGCAATACTCAGACAACTTCACATGTCATTTGAACATACAAGATGCTCAACAAAAGTTCCACGTATGTAACTGAAAATTTAGTAGCTTCAATGAAAAAATGTGCATTTGGAGAATTTCTAAACAATTATTCAAGATTTCGAATTCAGTACTATGGGAGTAATAACTCAACAGAAATTGAAACAATTGAGATCACTACATTGGCAAGTATTTAAAAAATAAATTCAATTACAACTTCCAAATGTATTTATAAAGCTGGCTTAGTTGTAAAAGCTATAACTGAACTTTTATTGGCAGAAAGAAATTAGGTTGAAACCCATACAATAACATTACATTAAAAATCTCATTACATTTCTTTAGGGGTAACATCTGATTATTTAATCACTTTTAGGCCACTTTGTGTATCAGAAATAATAAACTTATGTTCTAGTTATAAAACAAGCAACTAATTCACATTAATCAATGTTATTGTTTGCAATGATAGTTAAAGTTCCTGGTTTAAATTTTAAAAAATATGCTTCAAGATTTTTGTCAAATTCTATGCTCATTAGCAGTAGCGTAACGTAATGAGTGCGGGCCCGTCCTCAAAACTTTTGCCGGGCCCCTTTATGAAAGTGTTTTGCAAACACAAGCACTGTCAGTACCTTAAATAATAAAAATATCTCCTAAAAATATGCCCTCTTTTACCTGGACCCAACTGCTCACTTTGAGAGCTTTAAGAAACTCATTTGGTAATTCCACTAATATTGACAAAAAATTAAATTGTTTGAAAGGGTATTATTCATCAGGGATTTGACTATCCTCTACTTGTTGCTGTGCTGGTACATACACTTTGAATGAGAAATCACATCTAGCAAAAGAACCAGGATTGATAATCTGACACTCCATAAACTGAGTAGTAAAGGGAGCAAATTTATCTCCAGTCACTACTAGATCTGGTAAAGGAAATAAACGTAAAGCAGTATCATATGACCAATACATAGGGCAAACATTTATTGGAAGAGGAGCTAGATGAGCTTGACAAACAATTGTTTTTCCAAAATGATCATGAATATTTCCTGCAGTGGGGAAATTAATTGTATTTCTACACATTTTTGTCACTATATCTTCTCGAATTACAACTATTTCTTTAGTACAGTACTGAATACGACAAGGATTTGTAGTAAACACAGCTGAAGGAATTACTTTGCGGAACTCTTCAGTAACCCATTCAGGAAGAGGAGGTCGAGGAAGAATATTTACAGCACCACAATCCACAGGACCAGGTACAAATATGAACTTACTCTTATTAATTAATTCTGGGAAAGCAACTAATTCATCTGCCAAAGCCTTAAATTTAGATTTCAAAGTCTGACTTTGGAAGTTGCGATATTGAGATGATAAAAAATTTCCCATCAATACAAATGCAACTGGAGGTACTTCTGAGTAACCACGAAAAAGAGCCCATAATTTATCCATGACTTTCCTGTCATCTAACCATACATCTGAAATAAACACTATCATATCATCAGGATTATCTTTCTCATACTTAAGGAGCTTTGAAGATGTCTTTAGACTCACAGGTGATGGACCACCAAATACATTTACATTGTTAAAATGAGTATAACTACTTTTAGAAGTTTCTGCAGGTGGTAAACCTATGCTACTGACATGAAACACAGAATCTTCATAAAATCCTTCAACAAGAACAAAACAATTCTCTGTGTAGAGTCCTGCTTGGTATTTGGCTTCACTTATATCCAATTTCAGAATACCAGTTGGATCTTCCAAAAAAAACTGATTTTCTTGGAATTTTGCAAGTAATCCCAGACACACACAAGAGTCAATTCTCTTTGATGAACTAAGAAAATATTCCACTGTGTGCAATGATCCTTTTTTGGTACCCCTGTTCCCACTCAAGCCCATAGCTGCTGGAGCAAATACTTCATGACGACTGGTCCGATGGAGTAGAATTGTGTATCTTTCTCTATATAAAAAACTTTTTCGATAAGCACTGTCAAAAAGTTTTATTTCCTTTCCACCAGTTACAGGCATAAATTTTTTCCTTTCAATACTAAAGTAAAATCTTGGAATTTCAAATGCATTTATTACACTTACAACAGATTCAACACAATCCACTAGAGACTTTGCACAATCGTTGAGTACACTCTCTATATCTTCTTTCCTGACACAAGCAACTTCTAGAGATTTATTTTGAAGCACTTCAATTATTTTGTTTAACCAATCATCAATTTCTGTTTCATTGTCCTTAAATGGATCCAATTGCTCTATTAAAAATTTACATGCATCTTCTTTTAAAGTAAATCCATGGAATTTGAAGACTGACACAACTGTTTTTCTTAAATTCGACATATTTGATCGCCAAACAAATTCTTCTTACAACCTTGAACTCACACTCTCCTCGAGCCACATCGTACTGAAATTTCGCGGGAAAGAAAGAAAAAGACTGTACTTTAAATGCGGAACAAGAGAAAGTGTATGAGACATTCTAGCCAACTTTACCCAATAGTTTCTTAACCTCACAAATAAGTTTCCTTTTAACAAATAAAATTAAAATTGCTCAAAGTTAAAAACACTTTCAGTCGAATCCCTTAATTTAATCATTACATGAATTGGCTTCGGAAGCTGCGACACAGAAGAGAGGCGAAGATGTAGACAAGAAAAATTGAGATCGAAGATATTTATTTTTGTTGCGAAATTTGGATGCGCGCGGTATTTGGTGTATGATTTTCTGACAGCTTCATGCGTTTGAGCTACATTGGCCTCAGTGAAGAGGCAGGTATAAATTATTTTCAAAACACAAATTGGTGTACAAATAAGAGTGAGGATAACCAAGCAACGAAGCAATATCAGATATACCGCTAATGCCAATTATGCCAAGCGCGTGCTCCCAAGAAGTGGAGGTCCCCAATACCTTTCCCATACAAAGGAACTTCAGTAGCGGATAATTTGCATTTCTTCAAAAACAGATATTCCTGGGTCGATTTAACTCCATTCGAACTTTTGAAATTTAAAAAAATCTTTAACTTTTGGAGTACTTTACATGAAGCCTCTGGGACATTTTCAAAATTTTCTAAAAAATAATCTAATTTTTGTTTGTACTTGTAAGAATGGACTAAAATACACTTATTATGGTGGCATATGTCCAATTTTCACTGTTAACTATGAATTTTCGAAAATCGCTAGATACTTTCTCGTAAACGTATTTACGAGATGTGGAGTAATGTTGTTGAATAAAGAAATTTATGTAATGCTGCGAAAAATCGATTTTCAGATGTCAACGGAAATACACATTTTAAGGGTTCCCTAATACCAAAACGGTTTTTGTTTTTTCCCTTCAAAATGTCCGTCTGCCTGTCCATCCGCCCGTCTGTGAACAAAACTAGCACCTAAATTATTCATAGTATTTCCCCCCCCCTCAAAAAAAGGATCTTCCCTGGTCAATCAGTCTCCGCTCGATGCTATGGCATTTTAAATAACTTTCATTAATTTTCGTGGGTGATTCACACTTTTGGAAAGGGGCGCATTCCAAATTTTCTTAAAAAGTTTCAAAATGATTCTATTAATTTTCTTGTATGAAAAGAGCGACATACACATAAAACGATGGGTTAGATCAGATTTTCAACTGTTAAATCTAATTATATATTTATATATATATTTCGTAACTCCGTGGCAATAATCATCTTCCCCATGATCCAGCTGTTTTTGGCGCGTCCGAGCGGACCAAAGGGCGCGTGGTCCGCATCGCACCAGGGAAGTGCCAGAAAAGTAAATACAGACCCGGACAGCTAACATTGTATTTTCTTTAAACAATGAATGGTGGAAATCACGTTCTAACGCCAATGTGTGCTAACAGTGCTAATGTTTGTCGTTTCAGATATTTATCTTGCACGAACCAATTGAGGCGTTATTTCACAAGTCGTTCAACAAAGTTACTAGTCGTCTCCCACCACGAACGTAAACCCGAGCTATTAACACGTGCTAGCGATATTAAAAAGTCAGACAAATTAAGATTTTCTCGAAAACAGCTTCAAATTTTGGTAATTTTGTAACAAATGTATATTTTTATATATCTCTCACGTCGTTAAATGTGGAATTAGTGGAATATCAATCTTAGAGAAAATCTGCTGAAAGGTGTAGAGGTAGAGTTCGCAACAGACAGACAGACGTTTTGCCGTCAACAATTTTTCTCTATCAATGACACACTGGTATTCTGGCTTGTCAGCGTGTCGTCCTTGGCTTTTTGTTGACCGAACATTTATTCAATATTTTAGTTATAAGGGCTGAGAGTTATCTGTCGAAACTTCGTCGATGTTCGGCGTAAGACTACAATATTTTCTCTTCTTACGAAAAGAGCACAGGATATAAATTATCCAAATACTTGGGTGAAGAAATTTGGAGCGGATTTTGAGAAAATGTTTTTGTTCTCAGTTACATCAATGTCAGTCAAACATTACAAAAAAAACTACTTGTTCTTTCAAAAGATTAAACATGGCCTTTTTTAAGAGGCAGATTTCCATGAAGCAATTTCCATACCCTCTCAGACAAATTATAAACTACTTAGTAATGTAGCTGCACCTATATAAAGCATATATAATTCAGAGTTGTTAAGGGCAAATCGCTCTCAGCCACAACTTCAACTTACACCAAAACAATATACCTTGCATTGCTACACTTTTCAAAGCACAAGAACGTTCAAATTTCGTAATAAATATAACTGTTCTTCCCGGAGAACAAAAGTAATCATATACCACCCTTCTACTATGCAAAACTAGAAGATAACAATATCGGCTAATTATTGATTTTTTGGGGTGCTATAGTTCTTAAAAAGAGTATATTTTACTGCGTCATAAAAGTGATCACAACTGTGCCACAAAATGGCATAGACATTCTCGTACTGGTGGCTTCACCTTTCGTTTGAGATGAAGCACCCTTTCCGATTGTCCCCCTCTCTTTCCGGGCAACTGTCTATCTAGGCGCTCGTGCGAAAGCAAGTACTGCTACTGCTCTGGGGAAAATGTCCAGCGAAGGAACATCACGCCCAGGATGTGCCCACCTTGCGCACTTCTCTTGACTCCAGAAATGTGTTTATTTTGTGGTAAAGGAAAGTATGCTTTTGAAGATGTGAGACCCGTATTTCATTGTTAGCTCTTAAGTTTTAACTACGCATATGTTTTCGCTTAGGGTTGAACCACAAAGCGTCAATTTTAAGGAAACACGTAAAGTATATTTTGTCAAAAAGGCAGTAATTGTTTTCCCATGAAAATTTTAACTCATCGACGATATTCTGAAGTCTATTTCAATTAAACTGCTAGGGAACAAATGTGTCAACGTGAAGTATGTACCCGATTATTTAAGAAATGAAATTACAATATAAAAACGAAAAAACTAAAACATCATTTTAACTGAGAAGCGATGCTTCCATTTTTATTATCATCTCATTCTAATACATTTCCGGGCACTCAACCACTAAAATGCGAATGTATTCCTTGGCATATAATGTGCGTTTGTCAATACAGAATTTTTGGATGCCAATTATCAGGAAGGGAATGCCTTTGATTATTATTTTCCCATCGAAGAATATAGTAAAAACAGTATTTGTGTCCGAGATGGTGGCAGCCATCATTTGCATGTGTGCTCGGTTGTTGAGCGCGAGTTGTAGCTGGTGGCCGCCGCAGCAGAGCGCGCGCTGCCTCCGCCCCGCGGCGGCCCCTGCCTCGTCCCCACACGCGCCGCTCGGAGCGCTGCCCTCAGCGTCCTCGACTCCTGCGGAGGACGCGCGCACGGTGGCAAGGATTGCGGGGCTGCACCCGGCGAAAGAGGCGGCAACGCTTCGGCTCGTGCTCCACGCGCTCACCTGCCGCCGAAGAGGGCTGCTGTCACAGAAAAAATAATGTCAATACTTACATTCGTTTGTTTCATGGAAATTCTGCCAATGAAGGCAGAGACACTTTTTTTCTAAGGGAAAACACAACTTCCTATAACTTTAATAATTGTATTTTAAATAAGTGTTCTTGTAAGTAGTTTTGTTATAACTGTTTTTGGAGGTTTTGTTACCAAAAAATTGAAATATGGTTAAAATTATTTTTTGCTTTAAACTATCGTCATATTTGCCTTAGATATGTTATTCCAGGAGTCAGTAAAAACTCATGGCTGAATTAAGTTTTACATAATCCGGTAAAAAAATTTATGTACTATTTCTTTTTCGTAATTCCTTGATATTAATTATCCAATCGATTATATATATATATATATATATATATATATATATATATATATATATATATATATATATATATAATCACTATTTCACACATTTTGCCATAAATCAATTTTTCGAGATATAGGACCCACAAACCAGGTTTGCCGGTCCGGATGGCCGATATTGTTAAGGCAGTAGTGCCGTAGCGATCTCGGACCGAATGATCGCGGTTCGAGTCCTGCCTCGGACGTGGTTGTATTTGTGTTCGTTCATTCACCCCCCATCAACACCATATCATGTCATCTTCACAGTTACCTTACCGTTAAATGGAATAATAATGGTCGTTAATAACCGAGATATTGATGTAGCTTTTAATAACAAAACCAAAAAACGTGAATTCTGACTACACAAAGTGTTAGCGGAAGTATTTCACTACGTGTACGTAAGAAAAAGAATTACCACTTTTCCGGTAACAGGTAGAGAAATCACCTATTTTTACTGCATCATTATGTAACTTTCTCTACACTGCGTATGCAGCATGTGAGAAAGAAAAACTGTTAATTGGTACAGCTGTCTTCCTAAATCTAGTCTTTTCAGCAGAAATACTCTAAATATTTCGCTTCTAAATTTTTCGATTTACTGACTATCCGCGGATCTATTTAGTGTTGACCCAGCAGAAAAAATTCTTCTCTATATCACAGTTGAAAAAAACCCTTTTTTGTGTTTTAAGTGTTATGCAATGCATGTTTTTTCATTGTCATATTTTCTTTTCTAGTCATGCACTTCGCTTAATCTCAAATGATTTGTAACCAATTAAGCAGCGAGCATGTAGGAAACCAAGCATGTAGGAAACAAAGCAAACAAGTAAACAAAAAGGTAACTAAACGACAACGATCATTCATGTTTTGTTCTATCATCGTTAAAATTATCAAATGTCTGTCACCGTCGAGTGGAATTTCAAAAAAGGTAGGAAAATTACGATGCTGAGCAACAAAAACTTACATCATGCCGTTGATATTTGTTATGGGACATGTTCGTGTTTTTAAAATGAAAAAGTAGCAATAACATATAACATTTTAGACGTTTGATCTACTCCAGAACATTGCCATTATTTTATATCATATAAAAATAGTTGAATAAGTTTGATTCA